CAGTTACCGTATTTGGAGAGCATGGTATATTGGCTCATATACCATGATCGCTAAGCCAATCAGAGCTCTAGAATTGCGACACGTAGATATATGTTTCTTAGCAACTACTATAATTTGCTGTTTTAGGTCAATCTGAGTCAAGAATTGAATTGTGCATTTACTCATACACAAAATTGTCCTTTCGAGTTATGAAGAAGATATCAAACAAATTTCATCAGGGAGCACTAACCAATAATAATTTTGGGGAAATTTTTGTAGGCATAACATTAAAAGTTGGCACAACTTTTCCAAGTTTCAATCTGGTGTCTATCGTTGTCATCGATAATGGCACTGAACAGACCACAGGGAACAGTTTCAATACCTAAATTTAGTGTCAAATAACACAATGGGATTACATGTACTAATTTTCCAATTCAATTAAGTGAAAAAAAAAATAAAACAAAACCAAACCAAACAAAACCAAAAACATACCAAATAACGTGACATAGCTCCCTTAACAAATATAAGTGGATAGCAATTTTTGCGTCACTTAAGATACCCTTGGCTATTAGGGAGCTTAAGCAACGACGACGGCGACGGCAACGAGAACAGCAAAAAATGCAATAGGTGTAGATTAAGCAAAACAACAACTTTGCAAGTGCATAACGCTTTTTGTACATTTGTTTGAGGTAACTGCACGACTACAACGTGAAAGTGCCTAATTTCTCGTTTTGTGGAGGACTTGAACACAAGACAACGACTTTCTCTTTCTTTTCCTGAAGTTCGATGCAGTCTTTTAGATTTCAGCTCCAGGAAAATGATGGCAACATTTGACGAATTCAAGGAGATAGAATAAGCGCGATAAGTCTGAAGCAGCGCGAATTCAATTTATAAGTGACGTTTAGGTAACCGTCGCCGTCGTCTTTGTTTAAGCTCCCTAATAAATCACTGTATAGTTCAGTGGGAGTCAATACGCGTTCCGTTTCACGACAGCTCCTAAAGGCGATATTTAAGCGAAAACTAAGGCATCCGTACCGACAAATACCAAGAAAGTGATAAATTTTGGTTTAAAAAAATCTTACCAACTCAAATCTTTTATTTGCAAAAGTTGCTCTCGTTTTTTAACTGATTCGGTAAATACTAAAACAGCTATCACCCTAATGTTAGGTAGAATGTTCACCTCCCCTTTTTTGGGGCAGAGGGGGGAAGGGGAAGCATTCATTGCAATTAAATGCAAGGATAAAATCCAGGGAAATAACATTAAGGCTTCTCTTTTAAAATTTATATACACATCAACCATGAAAGTAATTCATCAAGCTTTACATTGTGGTGCTTCCCAGCTACAGCCATACACTGGATATACCATAATAATTAGTACAATATTAAGTACACAATTGTGGTGCTGCCTACCATTGGTTTCACAAAGGTATTTAAGACTGATGGAACATGGTAAATCATTCCATTCTCCTGCGGGAGGAAACATATGTGCGCAATCCTCATTTCCTCCAGCGTCGTTGGGTTCTTCATCACTCCAGTGAGTATATGTCGCTCTTGATCCATCAACCCACAACCAACGTGAATGGACATTGGGGTCCCTCAGCAAACCAATCCATACACTTTTTGATATTTTCGAGACTAGAGCTTGTTGTTCGGCTTGTGATGTCACTATGGCGAGCTTAGCCCCCTGAGCTTCACAGTCAGATTTTGCAGCGGTCCAGCTCAAACTCTTTGACGGGACTCTGTAGCATGAACCTTGTAGGTGGATCCAATTGTTAGGACAAAGCCCTAAAGTCAAAAGTAAACGTGGTGATGAGTCAGTTTGTCTCACCACTTTTTCTTTCTTGTTGAATTAAACATATAACACCCTTGTCTTAATGACTGATGCTCAGTGGAAAAAAATAATAATATAAAATTTCAGCAGAGAATAATGACTGTTGTTATATAGCTGGAATTTTTTTCCCAACAGCGCGAGCTCTCATTGTTTACTTCGAGGTCACTTGACATCTAACAATAAACTGTTTAACGCCAAAAACTCTGAGCAGGCAACATTGTAAAATCTATGACGTCAGGGGGTAACAGTGCACTGTTACCCGCGAATGTTGACCCCTCGCAAGATTTATTTTCATAAACTCGTACACGAAAAATGTTCTTCTTCGTGCGCTATATAACAAATCACTTAAAGACTGGTCCCTCGGGTAACAGTTAACTTTGTTTCCCTCGAATCTCAGAGCTATGAGCTGCCAGAAATATTGAAAATAATGTCTCGTAAACTTAACTTTAACTTTTATTAAGGTAACTCGACTCAGTTTTTTTTGGGGGGGTACCATCCTACTTTGAAGCTCTCTGGCATCCCCACCTTTACTTTAATAATAATAATAATAATAATAATAATAATAATAATAATAATAATATTAATAATAATAATAATAATAATAATAATAATAATAATAATAATAATAATAATAATAATAATAATAATAATAATAATATTTGTTTATTTCCACCATTCGCAGATTTCTCTGAATTACAGGTAGGGTCAGGAAAAGCACTTACAAACATACAATTATATTACATATTACATTATACATATAAATATATAAATATAATCTTATCGTAAGTCTAACACATAGAATGGATAACATATAGATCAATCTACACTATAACATAAAATTTTTGGCGATCAGAGTAAATGTCACGTGGTTATAATGCCACGCCCCTTTGAGGTCTGAGTCGAAAATCTGCTGTTGCCGGCATTTTTTCGTGAAAAAAAAAAAACTACGAATTTTTAAGAAAATGCTTTTTTCGTGAGATTGACTCTTTAACGCTGACAAACGTCAACAAATCGGGAAAACTATAATTTCTATATTTTTGCTTTGCTAGAAATCGCGCGCGTTTACAAGGCCCTAAATTGTTTTGCTGACTTGTAAGGACCCATCTGTTATAACGATGCCCAAAATAAAGAGATGAATCTTATAGTTTATTAGATATAATCCGTGTAAAGTTTGCTTATCATTTTCGCATAAATTATGACCTAAATTTGGAAACCGCTGAATTTCTCGAATTGGGTCTTTGCGATTTTGGTGAAACTCTGTTCAGCACAAGGCACTAATGCTCACTATGTGTAGCCGAGTTATTTGCACGAAAAAATGCCGGCAACAGCAGATTTTCGACTCAGACCTCAAAGGGGCGTGGCATTATAACCACGTGACATTTACTCCGATCACCAAAAATTTTATGTTATATTGTAGATTGATCTATGTTATCCATGGCTATGTGTTAGACTTACGATAAAAGTAAAGGTGGGGATACCAGAGAGCTTCAAAGTAGGATGGTACCCCTCCAAAAAAACTGGGTCGAGTCAACTTAATACATACCAAAAAACCAAAAAGACTCGTGCTCTAGTTAGTCCAAACAATTAACGTTGATAAATCGAAGTATTCTTTACCAGTATGAAGCTGCGACAAGAATTTATAGGGAAGACCGTCTTTCTCAGCCTGTTTAAAAAAATTGTCAGTGAATGTATCACATTCATCTTTGTCCCTCACTAAACTTTTTCTCGCTGAGTTTTATGCGACGTCGAGATTGGCCAAAGACATAAGGTTATCGTCATTCAAGTGATGTAACGCAATCGCGCATTTGTTATTGCAACAAATAGGCGGAGAAGGAGCAGTGGATTTTTGCTGGTTCAGGGCATCTTAAAGAGGGGAAGAATCAGGTAGAAACTTCTGTAGGCAGCAAAAAGGAAAGGCAAGTTTTTTGCATTAATTATTTTGTAGCATTAGATTAGAAGTAAAGTGACTATAGACCACAAACTACAAACGCACTATACAAGCAAAGTGCCTTATTCCCATTTTCAGTGACAAAAAGGACGTTTTACTTACTCCAAGGAATATCCGTGTATCCTCCGAACACGTAATGGTCTTTTTTGATGATTGTAATCGTGTGACGTTTCCCATCGCATTTGTTGTGAAAGGTACTGGCTGCCCAGCCATGAGTGGAGGCCTGCCAACACAGCGCCCAGTTGCTGTTATTCCCAATTGCAGGCGAAAGAAACCGTGTTATCACACTCGAGATAATATCTAAGGGTGAAAGATAAAATATGAGTTGGTTTCCCAAGCGTTTATATCTGGTGCAGCCATCCTCTAGCCAACCTGCGTTCGCGAATCATACGGCAGAGATGAGTGACAATTTTTTTCCAAGGATAAATTACTTTCAAAGTATACGCAGTCCACTAAAGGAAGTCCACAAGCTAAGTCGTGATAACCCTGTCTATGCGAGAATTTGCGGGAAAAATCAAATCCAGAATAAAGAACGCACATGGCATTGCCAGTGCAGGGTGATGTTACAAAATTGACGGCAAACACTTTCAAATCAGTATTTAGTCAATAAAGAAAGTTGTGGGAATTTGACCCAGACCTGAATCCTTGTTCATACAAGTTAAATGAAACGAGACAGCTATTCTGAAGATAACCTTCGATAAGCTAGGAACACTTGACATGGAAAAAATACACTTGAAACCCAGGGCAGACAGAAAACAGATTCTGACTTTCCACAGACGTAACGACTCAAAGAGTATTACTGAAAGTTAGATCTTCGCAAAATTTAGCTTAGATCAAAGTTAACCTGCGACCAGGTTAGAAAACATTATCCGTCCCGTACGGATAAATCGTCTTTTATCGTAAGTGTCTGGTTAGTGTTAATAATTACGAGAGACGATCAATGCGAGATCTTGCGCGCGGCAAAATACAAATGAATGGGCACTATAGTTTTTGTTTTACTTGTTTTAACACGTGCTTCATTTGTTGCTAATCCTTTAATACCCACACGCATTATGCGTTCAGAAAACGACCTTTCGTAGTACGTCGTTTAAGGCGCAATAAAGAATAGTTCGTGTAGACGCATGCTCCAGCTTCTGCCTGCCGTTTTACTGTAGACGCATAACCAGACGAACTAAAAATGTTTTCCCAAGTTCGTCCAGACGGATAATTAGTCTTTAACATAAAACTCGCTAATAACGCCATCTCGAATACAATCGAACCTCTAGTAACGGCAGCCTTTCTCCTTTTTTATCATCTAGGTGGGCACTCCTCAAGTATAGAACAACCCCTCTACCACGGTCACTTGGCCGTTACTTGTAGGTTTGACCATACTAAACAACCTATCAAAGATGGTAGCCTCAGTTCTTTTCATAGGGAAAGAGTCAGAAGACGTGGCCATTCATCATGATAGTACACTAATTTTGGAAGTCGTTTGAACTAAGATGTGTAAGTGTGTAAACACCTTTTACGGGTTATAGTTAACCTACTAGCTTTACAATTATTTTTTGAAATTCTTTAAGTCCTCAAAATTCAAGACCCTTAAAGTGCAACAGTCATTGCCCACAATAAATTTGTATTTTCAAGACACGTATTGCTTTGTGAAACTAGGGACTTGAACGGATCCAACGACGCAACTGCAACGAGAACGTCAAAAAAAAAAAAAAAGCAATAGGTTTTATTAGCAAAACAACAACTTAGCACGTGCATCACACTTTTTTGTACGTTTATATACCATTTTTGCACGACTACGACATGAAATTGCCTAATTTCGCGTTTTATGGAGATCGCAAACAAATAACGACGAAATTTATTTCTTTTTCTGGACTTGGATATGGTCGCTTGGAATTCAACATCAGTAGGGTTCGTCTACATTTGACAAAGTAAGTGGGTAGGGATAATCGCGATAAAGACTGAAAGAACGCAAACTCACTTTTTAAAGCGACGTTCTCGTTGCTGTCGCGGTGTTGGATCTTAAAAGTCCCTTCTAACAATGCCACAGTCCTCGACGTTTATCATGCCGAGGAATTAGCCAGGGATTTGAATTCTCTTCTAACAAAACTGTGTGCAGAACACATTTTTCAGTCAGTGACACAGGCAGGCGACTCGGAAGAAAAAACCTGAGTTCTCCCAATAGGATTTCAACCAATGACCTTGTGGTTACAAGTCCTGATGCTCTACCACTGAGCTACAAGAGACTTGTGGACGGCTTCTAAAATAGGATCGGAATGTCGATATATGTGTTTGGGCGCAATGGTGGAAATGTAATGGTAAGTGAATAAAGGAGAAAGGTGTTTTTTGAAATCAGTGACACGCAGAGTTCAAACGTGGTTCTTGAACAAAGTTCACAAAATCAGTTAGAGGTAGAGAATATCGCGGAAAAAGAAAAAAAATGTTCATTAAGAAAGGAACATAACAATAAAGCAACGCCGTTAAAAACGGACAGGTATAATCTTTTTTGTTTTGTTTTGTTTTGTTTTTGCAACATTGCTGCCAAACGATTTGAATAGGGATGTTGGGCGTTTTACCAACCACGAATTAAACCTATCTTGCAACAAATCAGGTTGTTGCAGGCTGCAAAAAGGTTGTTGTAGAAAGAAGAGAATAGTTCTACTTTTTACAACAAAATCTGTACATGTATTTTGCGCAATTTACCGGCCCATGAGAAACTTGTTTTGTGGCAAGTGACGTAACTCCCGCGTAACTTTTTCCAATCAGAGGTCAGTATTTACGCAACTTGCCTGTTCATTATTTCCATGAGTTAGACATTCTACAGTATATCCACAAAAAATATTTGTCAGTTCTATCATTTACCACTCTTTTTCCCCACCTATTTCACATCGTTTCCCAGCAAATCCAGCTGGACAACTGCAGTTGAATCCGTTGATTCGGTCGTTGCATGTTCCGTTGTTAAGACAAGGGTTGCTCCTACACTCGTTTATGTCTGTAACGGAATAATATCAAAAGACGCATCAAAGCAAGGAAGCCTGTTTATAATAGAGGATGGGAAATTACAGCTGAAAGACTGTTCTAACCAATCTCACACCGATTCCCGGCAAATCCTGGCGGGCAACTGCAGTTGAATGCATTGATTTGGTCGTTGCACTTTCCGTTGTTTAAACAGGGAATGCTCTTATACTCGAGGAGATATGTTTTTTGTTTTGTTTTTGTTTTTGTTTTTTCATGAGTGTGTGAAATACAGCAATTCATTGATATCAACGATGTGTAGTTATTCTAAGCATTTCTTACCTGTTTCGCAGTTTCGTCCCGTGAATCCTTTCACGCAGATACACTTATATCCATTTTTCTGGTACAAGGGAATGCATTTGCCAGTGTTCTTACAGGGCGAACGGTCACACATGGACTGCACAAAGGAAGGCATACGAACATCTGTTAACGTGAGTCCTGATTGAGGCCACCCCTTCTCCTAGCCCATTTTTGTGGTGTTCATCAAACATAAGCCCGATGGATTTTTCTCGGTAAAATTTCAAATGATATCCAATGATTTAGGTTTAGAAAGGTTAGTCAATGTAGATAATTCAAGAAATTAACTGAGACTTTTGAAAGAAGACGCTCAAACTTCATTTCCCAACTTACAGTGTTGATTCGATCAAGCGGCCCGAGCGCTTATTGAATTTTTGGCCCTGACGGAGAGTGAGCGCTTCTTCCAGGCTGGGCCTTTTTAAATTTTCAGCAAAAAGAAAGTAGATTTTGCCACAAAATAATAATAAAATAGAAGACAATAAAATAATAAACAAATAAATAAAAATAACAACCAAACGTGAAGACGTGCCAAAGCAGACTTTTTACGGTTCATCGAAAGGTTCTTTAAAACACTTGCTAGAAAACACTAGAAAACTCGGTCCTCGGAGAAGTCTTTTAGTAGGAGTAAATTTGTATTTCATTGTCACTGAGATCGATTAATTAGTTATGTTAGTTACAAAACTAATAAGGGTCCTTATTCGAGGCAGGACGCTCAATCGAATAAATACGAAAACTAGCGAAAAGCAAATTAATTACTTTTTACCATTAAGGAACTGTGGTAAACTGCGTAATATGCGGTTTTTCAGTGTTTTTTTTTTTCCTTTGTGGTTCGTAATAAAAGAGACTTACGCAGCAGGAAAGAGAAAAAAAGGCCACACAAGAAAAACGATGTTCTTTTAGCCCTCTGGTCCCCTTCATTTTATCGTTTGAGCTCTTTCTTTACGAAACTCAACGAAAAACATATCAAAATTACCGCCTGTTAGACAGGCTAGGATCGTTCCATGTAAGGGTAGGGAATCCTTGCCTGCGCCACAGTCGAAACTAAACTTTGGTTAAGTCCACCTGCGGAACAGTTCTAGCTAATAGGCCTCCACCTGTGTACCAGGATTTGAATACGCGCCATGATTGGCCCGTTAAAAAAAAAGCCAATCAGGTTGAAAGCAAATTCGAAACGCATTTCCGGTAATTCGGTAATGTCCGGTAGTCCGTTGGGGGCCCAGAACAAGGATTTCGGCGATGCCTCGCAAACTTTACTAAACGGGGTTAAATTACGTCTGCGACGCAGGCTAGGAAATCCAAGACAGTCTGTCGATTCTGGATTCGACGCTATGAATTCCGGATTCCAGGTATTAAATTTCAGTCTTTGTGAGCGGAACTTCGATTCTGGATTCCAATCATTAGTGAGATTTCAGATTTCTCGAGCGGTATTCCGGATTCCAAAGCAGAGGATTCCAGATTTCACAAGCAAAATTTTTTCAGAGTCCGGATTCAACAAACAAGAATCTCCCGGACTTCGAACTGCCTTACATGGAACGACTAGGAAATGTGGTCAGGCGCCTTTACTACCGCGCCTACATGTCAGGATTTGCACAAACCTTTATTTGGTTCTTGGTTCTAAGGATTAACCATTTTTAAAACCGCAATATTCACGATACAAATTCTCTCTAGACTGATCGCCAAACATTTCGTTATTAAATTAGCCCTGAGAATTTAATTAAAGAACTAGGATTTTATATTTTCAGGTAGTCATTTTGTTTATTACGTCATTTTTCTTAACTTAAATCCTTTCAGTAATTGGTTTTTGCGGAAAGTGGTCAACTGTCAAGACTGTTTAAACTATTGTAGTACGGGTTCGATATCCTTGTAAAAGATAGCTGAGCTTAAAAAATAACAATAAAATGAAGCCGGAAATTTTCAATGCTAGAAATTGGGCTATTTTTGACGAAAACTGCTAATTAATAAAAAGACGAAATTTCCGCGGTGTCAAAATTACTGGTGGCGATTGTAGTTTGAAATTTGCGTTGCCGTAACAACATCCTGCGATTGGCACAGGCAAACTCTTAATAGAGCGAGTAAGTGCACCTTGTTCGTGTTTGTTTAAATAACTAACGAAGGCTAAAAGCACCAATATGTACAGCTCCATTCTGCCCGAGGTTAAGGACATTGTATCACCAAAACACACTTCATTGACATCTCTGTTTGCACGATAATGAACAGGGAATGTGAATATTTTAACTGTAGATTTACATTTACGTGTCCAGCTGGATTTCTTCAACTTCCGTGTAGAGATTTTACTTGGTTTATAAACAACTGAAGGTTTTATATGTAGAAATGGAGGCATAATTCAAGACTTACTTTTCCTTCACAATCGAAATCGAGCCTTCTAGTAAGCGACCACCTGCAATAGGCGACCATCCATTTAAAACACTAAAATTTTCCCATACAAAGACTTTAAGTTGGAACTTCCCTTAAACGACCACCTATCGTCAGAGACCGCGACAACTTTTCTAAGATGGCGATTTTAGAATTTTCCGTTGTTCTTAACCTTATCTAGGCGACCACCTGATATAATGGTCTGATCTCTGTGTTTCTGTATAAACTAAGTAACTCCGGCTTTTTGAAAAAAAAATTTGGTCGGAACAACATGTATTTCAACTATTGTCAGCCTAAATTTCCATGCCATACATTCTCTTCAAAGAGTAGCTGTGTCCGCACTTCTCCTCGCAAAAGATTTCCTGCATGCAGTTCGACCCTCGTCAGTGACTGCTAACTTTTCGCAATTTGGATGGTCGCTTACTGGAGGTCCGACTGCTGTCGGAAAGTTTCTGTATATAGAGGAATTGCCATCGGAGGTTCTCTAAATGCCAGAATAGCACAAAGGAGAAGTCTTCATGTCGAGGGCATCGGCAACAAATAAGAACATGGTTTTTCTAGCCCAGGATGAATTTATAATATTTTTTTCTGCCGATTTTAGGCGGAATATCTTAAATTATAGCTAAGCAGTTAAAAACACAATTGTGTACTATTAACAGAGCGAACTGTCGAACGCTTTTTGATGGAGAACATTTTAGTGGAGAGATCAACATTGAACCAGTCTGCCTCATAAACTTAGTCCGATCATCCAAATTTCCGTTTAATGAACTAAAGAGCACGACTGGGCATTGGGAGCTGCCAGGTGTAAAATTTCACTACCGTTCAAATGCTAAGGCCATTTTTAAAATAGCCAACTGGTTCGCCTCCTACCAGTTGGGATTCTTAACCATGTTATGTTTCCTTTGAATCATTTGACTGTTTCATTATCCCTGAGAAATCCCGTAAGGGGAGAGGATTATTGAGCATTTTTTCTTAAAACTCTCTCACTGTCAGAGGGAATGATGGAGTTTGTAAGGTGGCTCAAATGTTTAAATGCGTGGGCGAAATCCTATGGAGTGATCATTCAAATGAAACCTCTCTGCCCGTACATTTTAAGAAATGAAATTTGGATATTCTTGTCGAATTTTGCCTTTGGCCACATTTAGCAGCGAAAGGTTTATTGAACGAAACAACTTTGATCATTTAGAAGCTTGACTCACCGGAATAAAGAAGTGATGAAACTCTTTACTGGCGTTGAACTTTTCTGAGTTGTTAAACTTGTCCGATGGCAGGAGTTCGCACAGAAGTTTACCGTTGACATCAGGGAAAGCAGCCACGTTGTACGAAAAACACGAAGGAATTTCTAAACAGGCGTAGCCACAATCGTTTTCGTCTTGAATAAGTTTCCGTTCAATGCTTGTGATATTCAGGTAGGAAAATTCACTTATCATGAAGTTGACATAGAAAAAGTTGCCAATGGATCCTTGGCTGAAAGCTGTTCAAAAGAAAAGAGGAAAAACATAAGATTTTCACATTCTTTTTTATGTCACAATAAAAATCACAATCAAAGAAATAGAAAATGAATTTTATGTACCTTGAGAATCCGTTTGATGAACGGTGGAAAAGATCAACAGAAAAAAGAAGTGGTTTCTGAGAATTACTGGGTTTTCCATCTTCTCTCAGATGTGAAGACACAAGCTTTTGTCTAATTCTGCCTGGACTGCATACAAATAAACACCCACCTCTCCTAATTATGTCACGTTTATGTTTATGTTTAACCATAAACAATATTCATTGCAGTGAATCAATAGCCATTACTAAATAATTAACATGACTCGTCATGATGTAAAAGCATATTTATTTACTGATACGTTCTAATATTGTTTGACTATTAAAAACACAGTCTGCAATACAAGGGAATTTTTACCGCTAGAATGACACGGAAAAACGACTAAGATCCCCAATATGAAGGCATAGAATCTGAGAAGTACTTGGAAGCCTTCCATCTTTCAGTTGTTAGAGTTGCGGTGCAGTACCTCGTTTCTTGAAAGGTTTGCCCTTTGTTGAAAAAAGCTTCAGTTGTTTAGGTCTAAATGCAGTTGTTAGCTTTTCGGCTTGCTGTGAAAACAGACCATGAAAAGCAATTCAAATCAGTCTTTTAGTAATTCGTTGACGAATTAGTTATGCCACACCTCATTGACTCGCTAAAAAGCTCCCACCCTAAGCAAGAGATTACGCTAAGTCATTAACTTCAACCGCGGCTACAGTTATACTGACATTAATAGGAATATCAGGGTTTACGCGAATAATCTTTTTCGATACACTACCAACTAAAAAAAGTTCTTCCTATACCTGCCCCCGTCTTTTGATGACGTTAGATTTTCGCCTACAAAGCTGTTTGAGCCTTTTTTTGACTTAAATTTTGTTGCGAAGAAATATCAATTTAATTTGTTACCTCTTACGCAACGCACGACAACTGAACAGATGGAGAAAAAAAATGTGAATGAAAGGTTTAAGAATAAAATAGAACGGCTTAACGGTNGAAAAGATCAACAGAAAAAAGAAGTGGTTTCTGAGAATTACTGGGTTTTCCATCTTCTCTCAGATGTGAAGACACAAGCTTTTGTCTAATTCTGCCTGGACTGCATACAAATAAACACCCACCTCTCCTAATTATGTCACGTTTATGTTTATGTTTAACCATAAACAATATTCATTGCAGTGAATCAATAGCCATTACTAAATAATTAACATGACTCGTCATGATGTAAAAGCATATTTATTTACTGATACGTTCTAATATTGTTTGACTATTAAAAACACAGTCTGCAATACAAGGGAATTTTTACCGCTAGAATGACACGGAAAAACGACTAAGATCCCCAATATGAAGGCATAGAATCTGAGAAGTACTTGGAAGCCTTCCATCTTTCAGTTGTTAGAGTTGCGGTGCAGTACCTCGTTTCTTGAAAGGTTTGCCCTTTGTTGAAAAAAGCTTCAGTTGTTTAGGTCTAAATGCAGTTGTTAGCTTTTCGGCTTGCTGTGAAAACAGACCATGAAAAGCAATTCAAATCAGTCTTTTAGTAATTCGTTGACGAATTAGTTATGCCACACCTCATTGACTCGCTAAAAAGCTCCCACCCTAAGCAAGAGATTACGCTAAGTCATTAACTTCAACCGCGGCTACAGTTATACTGACATTAATAGGAATATCAGGGTTTACGCGAATAATCTTTTTCGATACACTACCAACTAAAAAAAGTTCTTCCTATACCTGCCCCCGTCTTTTGATGACGTTAGATTTTCGCCTACAAAGCTGTTTGAGCCTTTTTTTGACTTAAATTTTGTTGCGAAGAAATATCAATTTAATTTGTTACCTCTTACGCAACGCACGACAACTGAACAGATGGAGAAAAAAAATGTGAATGAAAGGTTTAAGAATAAAATAGAACGGCTTAACGGTTTGATGGCCGTGAGCGGATGTTTATGAAGTATAATTTGTTGCGAAGTAATATCGTTCATATTTTGTGACCGCCCACGCGATGCACGGCTACTGCACGGAAAGAAAACGGATTTTTGTTTAAAAGGGATAGAATGAGAGGCTTGAAAAAAAGGCTTAAAGGTTATTTGATAGCAGTGTGACGCCCGGAGCCAGAAATTAAATAGATAACAAACAGCTAAACGCCTGGTAAAAAACAACTCGCTTACGCAAAAGAAAGAATGATAATAGTAATGATAATAATGATATGATGATGATGATGATGATGATGATGATACTGATAATCAAATTTAAGTATGTCTGATTTTTTTCTCGTGAAATTTGGAGCTGATTCTGAGCAACTCTGAAGGCCGATCGAGCAATTGTGCCCTACCTTGTCTCTTATTATTACACTGTCAGGTCAAATTATGTTTTAGTACTCAAATCGCGCTGAAACTTCGTAAATACAAAGACAACGACATCAGGTAACAATATTTACACTTTACTGATAACTCTTAACTCTAACCGCTTCTAGTTCATTTATTTCATCTAAGTTTCGTTTCCCACACAAACTCTTTATTTCCCATACAAACTCTCATATTACACTTGGGCCACCTGTGGCTGAAGCTGACAGAGTTTCGTGACATCCTATTATGTTTTAACTGTCTTTTTATACTGGATCTACAAAATGAAATACAGCTGCTATCAAGACTCTTTTGTTATTAATGGCTGGCTTGTTTATTGGGTTTTGGTTGAGAAATGCACCGCTCGAGAAAAATAACACCCACCTCTCCTAATTATGTCACGTTTATGTTTATGTTTAACCATAAACAATATTCATTGCAGTGAATCAATAGCCATTACTAAATAATTAACATGACTCGTCATGATGTAAAAGCATATTTATTTATTGATACGTTCTAATATTGCTTGACTAAAAAAACACAGTCGGCAATACAAGGGTGTTTTTACCGCTAGAATGACACGGAAAAACGACAAAGATCCCCAATATGAAGGCATAGAATCTGAGAAGTACTTGGAAGCCTTCCATCTTTCAGTTGTTAGAGTTGCGGTACAGTACCTCGTTTCTTGAAAGGTTTGTCCTTGGCTGAAAAAAGCTTCAGTTGTTTAGGTCTAAATGCAGTTGTTAACTTCCGGCTTGCTGTGAAAACAGACCATGAAATTAAATTTTGTTGCGAAGAAATATCAATTTAATTTGTTACCTCTCACGCAACGTACGACTACTGAACAGATAAGAAAATGGAGAAAAAAAATGTCAATGAACGGTTTGAGAATAAAATAGAACGGCTTAACTGTTTGATGGCCGTGAGCGGATGTTTATGAAGTATAATTTGTTGCGAAGTAATATCGTTCTTATTTTGTGACCGCTCACACGACACACGGCTACTGCACGGAAAGAAAACGGATTTATGTTTAAAAGGGATAGAATGAGAGGCTTGAAAAAATGGAAACGGAAGAAGAAGAACGGCTTAACGGTTATTTGATAGCAGTGTGACGCCCGGAGCCAGAAAATAAATGGATAACAAACAGCTAAACGCCTGGTAAAAAACACTCGCGTACGCAAAAGAAAGAATGATAATAGTAATGATAATAATGATAGTGATGATGATGATGATGATGATGATGATACTGATAATCAAATGTAAGTATGTCTGATTTTTTTCTCGTGAAATTTGGAGCTGATTCTGAGCAACTCTGAAGGCCGATCGAGCGATTCTGCCCTACCTTGTCTCTTATTATTACACTGTCAGATCAAATTATGTTTTAGTACTTAAATCGCGCTGAAACTTCGTAAATACAAAGACAACGACATCAGGTAACAATATTTACACTTTACTGATAACTCTTAACTGTAACCGCTTCTAGTTCATTTATTTCATCTAAGTTTCGTTTCCCATATAAACTCTTTATTTCCCATAGAAACTCTCATATTACACTTGGGCCACCTGTGGCTGAAGCTGACAAAGTTTCGTGACATCCTATTATGTTTTAACTGTCTTTTTACACTGGATCTACAAAATGAAATACAGCTGCTATCAAGACTCTTTTGTTATTAATGGCTGGCTTGTTTATTGGGTTTTGGTTGAGAAATGCACCGCTCGAGAAAAAGAAATCGGAAATCATCGTTATCTAAAATAAGTTACTGCTAGTAAGCTTACTTCGTCTTCCTGGATGCTTAAGAAGGTTGAAACGTCTTAAGTGATTCTGGCCTTACTTGATGTGTTTCCTACCTGCATCTCCACCGGTAAGCTTGAGTGATTATATTGCACATGATGTTTTTTTTTTTTCTTTTATTATTTTTTTAATTTCTGGTTTCATGAAGTCTGGCATTGTTTATGCCGTCATTTTACGCACTTCTGTAAGATTTAGGACTATGATCTCACCTAGTACAGAACTTAAAAAGTCTTTAGACATTTTCTGACCGTGACTTTATTAATTAGTTATGTTAGTTACAAAACTAATAAGGGTCCTTATTCGAGGCAGGACGCTCAATCGAATAAATACGAAAACTAGCGAAAAGCAAATTAATTACTTTTTACCATTAAGGAACTGTGGTAAACTGCGTAATATGCGGTTTTTCAGTGTTTTTTTTTTTCCTTTGTGGTTCGTAATAAAAGAGACTTACGCAGCAGGAAAGAGAAAAAAAGGCCACACAAGAAAAACGATGTTCTTTTAGCCCTCTGGTCCCCTTCATTTTCTCGTTTGAGCTCTTTCTTTACGAAACTCAACGAAAAACATACCAAAATTACCGCCTGTTAGACAGGCTAGGATCGTTCCATGTAAGGGTAGGGAATCCTTGCCTGCGCCATAGTCGAAACTAAACTTTGGTTAAGTCCATCTGCGGATCAGTTCTAGCTAGTAGGCCTCCACCTGTGTACCAGGATTTGAATACGCGCCATGATTGGCTCGTTAAAAAAAAAAAGCCAATCAGGTTGAAAGCAAATTCGAAACGCATTTCCGGTAATTCGGTAATTTCCGATAGTCCGTTGGGGGCCCAGAACAAGGATTTCGGCGATGCCTCGCAAACTTTACTAAACGGGGTTAAATTACGTCTGCGACGCGGGCTAGGAAATCCAAGACAGTCTGTCGATTCTGGATTCGACGCAATGAATCCCGGGTTCCAGGTACTAAATTTCAGTCTTTGTGAGGGGAACTTCGATTCTGGATTCCAAT